AGGAAGAAGTTCAGACAGCCGGAAACAGCGTCGATTTGTTCGTGGCTTTGTTAATCAATCTTCCCTAATTTCCAATTCTCTTGCCTCCCTTTGCACTCTCTCTATCTCTCTGTCTTTCTCCATTGTACATTCCTTCGATCAACTGTTTATCCCGCTACGACAACTTGTCTAATCACTCATCGAGGGGTTAACAATCGGTAATCCCAAATGTTTGAGTGTTTGTCTATTGGTGTTGGAGTTTATAGTTCAACTAATTACTCAATTATCACCGTTTCCAGACAGAAGTAAAACTCTTTAAATCTTGAAGGTGAAACGTAAATTAGGAGTTGTATTAAATTTTCAGAAGTACTGGATGGAAAACGATTCATTTTTATAACACAAACCACGCAACTCAGTTTTTCCATCGACGATTAATTGAGTAACGATAATGAATTAGCTAATTACGCTCGTAATCAGCCTGGATAAGTATCAGAGGATGATATTACATGAACACAGAGAATGGATACGTAATGTCAATATACCTCTTTCCGTGCTCCCGTTTGTATTCACCGCTGTACTTGGATCTACTGCCTACGAGCTCTATTATCTCGGGTATGCTACTAGCAAAAATTGCCTGTAAATAGAAATTATGGATACTACTTTGGCGATTTTTCTACTCCATAAAAGGAAGTATTAGCTTCTTGGATGGTATATTATCCAGCACCAAAGCTACCAGAGTTGCCTCAATTTCAGGTTGTTTTTCCATTATTTTTTTTTTCATGAACATCGCATACAGCTGCTGATGAAGTTACGAGATAAGTGGAGCTTTGTGAGAGTAATAGAAGAGAGGATAGACACGATGAGCCTTTTGCGAAGAATTGAATTGAAGATGAAATTGCATTGGAAATTAATGACGTTGGAGTCTTAATTTTGAGCCTGATGTATGCCACAGGTCTGCAGAATCTTTCGCAATTGATTCTGAAGAAGGGAATGATGAAACTGAAATGTTTTAATAACTATTTTCATTTTGATCTATTGGAACGAAAAAAACTCTTCGCAAATGACTTCATCAAAATTGATCCCTGACTTTGAAGGTATATTTACAGAATAAATATATCTCACAACACAATTTCTATGTATCGAAGTAACAGTGATAATGTACAAGTTGAGAAGAATATAGACAGACAGAAAGAGTTTTATAAATACATAATACTGTCAGATTTGTTAAGCGACAAAGCAGCGGCTGAATGTACAGCGAGCAGTGAATTTACAGTTTATAATTAAAGACGTCCACCGAATGCCGAGTAATGAAATTTAACATCCTCCGAATTATTCGATAATTACGATTAACTTTTGGGGTTTTGCTAAGTAGATGGGATTAGAGTGGATGAGGGTTGGAGAGATTATTTGAATTGAGGCAAAGTTGAGGCTGATTAACGAAGCGTCAAGATAATCAGCTGAAAACTCTGTTACTCACTAATGAATCCATTTATTCAAAATGGTTTTCGCCGTATTGATTAATGCCGAGTTCACGATTAAAGGGATATATATAGTTGAGATTAATTCGAAAATTTTCCAAGCTGACTCGTCATGATACTTGGAATTTATACCCATGATCATTCGATCCGAGAGCGAGTATTACCGGGCATTTATGAAATTATTATTCACTTTTTTTTAGTATTTTAGTCGACCCACCGAATTATAATGTCTCATCATAAATTATCGGAGAGCTGAGTAACTAGATATTACTTTGAGAACTTTTTTTTTTCTCGGTACTACGTCTATTTACCTTCTACTCGTGCAGTTTTTATTATTGTGATTAAAATCTAAACTACTTGGAATTTTTTAGTGAAAAAATTGATCAAATAAAGAGATATGTAGCCAGGGAACGAGTTTAAGTGAGGATGCACGCAGTTTTCATTGATTATTGCATCGAGACGAAAGGAGACGTCGAATCAAATACAAAGGACATGATTAACGGTTTTCTTACTTTGTTTATCATGAAAAATAGATTGGCTTTATGTTCTAGAGGTGGCGATCGATGATTTGGAGTTTTATTGGAAAATGCCAAGACGCAGCGGCGATAGGTGTTCGAGAGACAGAGTATTGTAACAAATTAAGCCAAGGGTTAGCTCTTTTTTTTAGTATCAAAATTTCAATATTTTTCTTAACTTTCATTTTCAGCAGCGTTTGAGCATACGCATAACACTGACAGACAGAACATATAGACAGAGCGCTCAAGATCTTAAGCTCTCACAGACACCGACGATAAAGGGCAATTAGGCTCGTAAATATGAAAAAATTACAACTCTGATCTGCTGTAACTAATTCCTGAAATATTCGGCTTTTCTCATGCATTAACTCGAGTTATACGTTTTCGAGTGATATTCAAGTCGCAATGAGCGACGGAAAAATACAATCAAAGAATTATTTTAGAAAAGTTGAGAATTGAAAGGACAGAGTGAAATTAAAAAATCATAAATAACTCTTGAAGACGGTATATAGAATTCACACTCACTCATCGCAATTATTTTTATCGGTTTATCTGCCCGAAAATGGGGAAATAAAAGCAATAAAATACTTTTTCCAATATCGTTGAAAGAAAATCCCAAACAGAGGCCCTCTGTTACGAAAATATTTGTGTTATTGAAAAGAAATGCTGAACAGATAAGTCTTTCATCATTGGAAAAAATATTCTCCTCTTTCTCAATTTAATAAATATGCGGCAAAGAATTCGATCTCGACATATTTCATTGTGAAAAATATTCCCCGCCTCGCATTTCACCACCCTTTTAGATATATATATGTATATTGACTGACCATGTAAAACCCGGACGAGCCAAAACCCGGGTGTGCATTTTTACCAGGCACCTGGTACAACCCGAACAACCCCTGGATCGCGGCCAAGATTTCTTGACGTTTCACGTTATCAATGCGTTTTTAACCGTCAATAATATTTTTCACTCTTGATTTTAGTCGATTCGTTTTATCTCCCTAAGCAACAGCGAAACCCATCCTCAACCTGAATTCCCTGAGCCCTAATTAACTCTGCGATTGATTATATCGACAATAAATATTAGCTCTATCTAAATATTAAAAGCTGGCTTGTTAGTCCTAGTAAGCTCTCTGAATTTATTAATACACTGTTATGGTTATTACTTCATAAACTCCGAGGGTTTATTAGCAAATGGGAAACAGGTCATGGTCCTGTCTTTATTTTCATTCATCTTGACTTGAAAAAAAAAAAAATAGATCGACGATTGAACTCTTGCATTAGCTCCATATATTGATTATAACCGTGCTGCCTTGCTCTGCTCGAGGTGCAGGTCATGTTCGTTTTAACCGGTTGGTCCATAAGTAAGAGAGTGATCAGGAGTGGACATAGATTCAAACAATTCGGGCGGAACACGTGAGCTAATATGTGTTGATCTAATTATAATGATTAGAAAAAATATTAAACGGTTAATTAATTCTTCTACAGTCAATGTATATCAGCGAGCCCTGGACGAGCATATATAGCATATATTCCCCATCAATATCATTTGTCTGGACGTTCAATTATTATTAATTCATTGTCACCGTGCAGTTCGTATGCGAACGAAACGAAATAATTCTTTACAGTTATTTAATTTTTATTTGAGATAATGCTCATCGATAGCAACAGCTATTGAACATAAGACGCAACAAACGGCTCATTTACTTTTTCTTATTGAATATTCGTGTTGAATTGAGGAACATTGTCTCATCTGAAATAAATTGCTCCTTTGAACGGTGATACAAGCCCAATAGCGAGAGAATTAATGTTTTTACTGCGAGAATTGAATAAAAATGAAATAAACGCGTTTGATAACTGGTGATTGTCGTTATTACGATTTGTTTCTGCATTTCGTGCATACCATGCATCACCATTCAAACAAAGCATTCATTTCTCAATTTTATTCGAAAAAAATGTCCTGTGGCTGGCAGTACTGCTGAATTACTACTGCCATGAATATATTGCATCTCAGATAGAAGCTAAGTGTGATAAGAATTGATGAATTAAATGTTGTCTAAGTTTGTCATTCACTACGAATATTTTAATATAATTATTCAATGTTATCATATTTTTCATTGCCAGAGGACATTCCAGACGATGATTTTTTCATATTTGTTATTGCAATAGGATCGTAATTGTCGGTTTCATGAAGAAGAAAAACAATTAGATCAGAATTGACAGGCGTTAGTATTGAATGATTATTAACTCATTTGAATTAACATTTTTATGGTAAAATTTTGATAAATAGATCCAATCAATTCTTATTTTTGTTCTCCGTGTTAACAGACAAGTACTTTCTACGCGCGTAGCAGAGCATGTAAAACGAACGACCGCGGCTTTTTATTTCGAGTACGTAAAAAATTATCAGACCGGAAGTATTTGGTAACGCGAGTTTTCAAGAACTTTTTCGCCGTTATTTTTTTTTTCCGTCATTCACAGAGCAAAGAGAACATTTCACTCCTCTCGAGATACCGAGCTTTGGTCGAGAGCTGAGTTGAAGGGCATTGAAAAAAGAGCATTACGATAAGAATTAGAAAAAAAAAACAGAAGTATCTTAAAAAAGTTGTACACAGGAACAGAAGAGAACAAAAAAGGATCGTTCGTTCCGCAAGCTCACGAGAGACTCCATGAGAAAGCTCTGGTTACTTTTCCATGAAAATAAGACGATGGAGTTAATAAAAAGAAGTAATGGGTGGAGTTCAATCGAATTATCGGAGCAATTACTCAATATCTGTTTGAACTAAATTTTTCTCCATGAAAAATCGACCAGAGCTTTTTTAACTACTCAAGGGGCGTATGGCACTGGTAAACATAAAAAAATAGAAAAAAAAAAATGAAAGATAAGAGATAGAAGATAGAGTCGATAGAGACAAATAGAAGATCATCACAGCGCACGTATGATTACAGTTGTATCCTCATTATTATTTAAATCTAAAGTATTAAATAATGTAATTGAAAGGCAAAGATAATTGATGGGTTGGCTTACCAAACCGACGAGTAGAAAAAATACTAGGAATGTGCGGCCGAGAATAGTGTTGCAGTAAACATCGCCGTATCCTACCGTTGACATTGTAACAATTAGGAAGTACACGCATGTCCAATAAGATAGCGGTTGTGGATTCACGAACTCGAATGGGTCCCCTGAGTTTTCAAGCTAAAAAATCCCAGGATTAATTCGACGCTCATTGATCAGCATTAAAAAAAAATAACACATCTATCTAGAGATATCCAAACTGCTGAATGAAAATTGATGGATAAGAGAGCACGAGATTTGTCATGATTTGGAATTGAAATGGCTTTTAGATTTTGGCATTTCGTTGTCTTACCAGATGAATGATACCAGCAGCAGTCAACCAGACTGAGATGAATATGGAGACGAGTTGGGCGAGACGAATGGAGCTCGATGTTTTTAGAATGTTAAGGTACTGGAGGATGTCAGGGACCGTCATCAGTCGTAGGGCTCTGAGAAATCTCAGCCCGATCCACGTACGATCTAGATAGATCGATACGAAAGACGGTGGTATCGTAAAATAATCCACGAACGAGTACATCTCCAGCATGAACCACAGCTTGTCACTGGCGGCGATAAACTGTTTAATATTTTATCATTAATACACTGTTAATTCAACTGCGGGGGAATTCCCAAAAGAATATCACAAAGGGAAACTAAATCGTGCTATCAGATGCACAAAAAAAGACCATTGATCGAATAAATTGAGGGTAACCGGAAAAGGATGTCGATGGAGATGTCTCGGCTGTTACTTACGCGTATAAAAAAGTAGACCATAAAAAATATATTGAAAGCTAAGTCTATCTGCTGAGTAGTGTTGTTGCTCCACTTCTGGCAACGCTCGACTTCTTCGCTGCAATACAGAAAAATTGAGGAAAAAAAATGGTTAAAATGATCAACTTGTCTTTTTTGAATTGTTCTTTTTTTAAGGGATCGCAAGGAGAAACAAATACAGTCAATGGATGACGGCACGCGACTTTACCGGATATCGACTTTGGCCGAGTGCCGGAGCAATCGTTGTGCTTTCAACCGTCAAATTCCAGACCATATTGCTTTCGATAAATTCTTTTTTCTCGACATTTTTCTGCTCTGCTGGTTGGAAATTCCATTGATAATCAAACATTTTGAACATTAATTTTGAGTGAAGTTCTTCAGCTTGAATAATTCATATTCACTAAATGAAAATTCAAAGATTTACTCACTTGGAGGCATCGATGAAATATATTATGAGCGATGCTATACTGAGGATAAAGACCAGTACCACCTGAAACATAGAAAGAGCAGAATATACATGATGTTCTAGAACAATTAATAGAGGGATGAATAATAAAAGTAGAATAAAATCGTCAGGGGTACTAATTATAATCGTCAATTGAGACGTCAGAACGTAAAATAATCAGTAACGCGTGACGGGCGACAAAGCAATTGCTTCCGGGATTCGTCGTGAGCCGTACATTCGAAAACCGGAAGTTATATGTGCGAGAGTCCTATCTAAATACTGGGCTGTAAGATCTCCAGGCTAATCGTTTCTCGACACGAAACCACAAAACCGTCGCAAGGAGACCTCATATAAGTGGATGAGAAAGTATCGGAGTAAATGTGAGCTGTTGGAGTTCCGGAAGTCTTTGGGCGGATGCCAAAGTAGCTCGAAGGGCCTAGATGCCTGTGAGTATCCGAAGATGATGTGCAATATGGCTGAGAATCTACTCTCATGGCTGAATACAAATTTTCGGAGGTGTAGGGAATGAGAAATTGGAGACAACTATTCAGGGAATTCTTTAAACGATCTTGAAAGATAACGCGCCATGATAAACTATTCAAATTTGAGATGCGATAAACTTTATTTTACGAGCGCATTTAAGAGCGTTAAGTATTCAAATGGTAATGGCCATCTCAAGCCCAGGGCTCATGTCCAACAATGTGCCGCCTACTTTAGACGACAGCCAAATTACCACTTTTTCGGTATCTCGTGACTTTTAGTTTTTTAATTCCATGATAATTCAAGGGCTCTGATAACAGCTTTATTCAACTGTCGGGAAATTGAGCAACTGAATAAAATGTAAAATGAAGTTACGCAATTAAATACTTGAGACGCTGCCTTTTACTGTGACACATAATTGAACTCATGTGAGAGTGTTCTGAAATGCTCATGTCCTCCGTTATATTCCATCAATCCTAGTTTGAACATTCAACATCATCAATTATCCCATCATCTGAACCTCTCGGGTTGCCAGTAAAACATCTTGGGATTCGCTCCAAAGGTTTATAGGCCAAGTGCAGCGTTTACGACACAGAAGAGATTACTACGAACGAACATCTAACGTCCATTGATATTGAAACACCTGATAAGAGTGTTAATGGAGTTATGCCTGCAATATTCACTCAATAATACTGTGTGATCGAATGCCGGTTGGCTCCGAGCCATTATGCGTGTGCGTCGAGTTCAGATCAATAACGCTACACGAATCGTTATCATGCGGCGCTCTACGAAGAACCATTCCTCCAAAAATACCCGAATCCTATTAAACACTTTTGCATTTACGAATTATATTACTGATCCTCAAGTCCTAATTTAATGGATAATGTCACTCACTTCGGAACCGTTGCACAAGACAATTACTTTCTTATAATTAATGCACACCGAACAATTTGATCAACTTGCGTCGTTTCATTCGTTGCTGGAGATAGCAATATTATAAATAAAATATTGAATTATCAAATTTATGAATTATTAATTACTTTAGAAAAATCTGGAGGAATCAATGGATTATACAGATTTATTATGACTGCGCGAAAATAAACAAAATGGGAATGATTAGGCGATGGCAACAGATCAAAGTTATAAAATCATTGATGATGCTGTTTATTTCGTCAATTGAATGGTGAATCAATTCATTCATTTAATCCCCATTTGAGTCACGAAGATAAAAAATATTTATATACCCTCCGAATATACCCAGTCCATTTCAATCACTGGCGTTCGCCAGTTTGACGCAGCCAATAACGAAATTCTGGAAAAACAAACAGTTAGAGACTCGTTAAATAAACATTTGAGATTCTCACAGTGCGAGGCTATAGTGTTAGGATCGATCAAGGGTACTCGTTCTGAATGAGAAATGAAGATAGCACCGATAATTAGAGGGAGAAGAACAAAAATATATTGAAATGGTTTTTTTTTTATCTTCAGAGAGAAATGGGAAATACGAAAATTGGGGTGAGCTGAAGAAAGGGAGGTAATAGTGATGGTAATGGTGGAGCGCTTGCGCAATCAGCTGGAGGAAGAACTCCTTTGTATTCCTGCATTATCACAGGATTTGGAATGAGGATGGAGGGGCAATAGGGGAGTGGGTCAGAACTCTCCGGCTCGGATGGACGAGAATCAGAACGAACATTGAACTTTCGGATTGTTTGCCACGGACATTGTCGTCAACTTTATGAAGCTGCTAGGGACAGAAAGAAGCCGAAGCTAATCGAAAAGATTATCAACTTTAAAATCAAGACTTTGAAGGAATTAAATTAAGCAAATTCTCATTCATTCCACAACTTTTGCTACGTTAATTCCTGTATAAGTATATAATGTACGTAATCAATTATTGACTCAATAAAAACTTTGTTAATAAAAAAAGCGTCTGTGATTATCAATGGGAAGATTTCAAGTTCGACTCCCTTTCCCATCTGTCGTCTCTTCTTTGCAAGTGACACCATTGATTTTTCGAATTTCGTCTTCAATACGTTATTCTCCGGAATAAATTGAAAGACGGCCTCTGATCTTCGGAGATCAATAGAGTGCTTTCAGCCACTCTATTCGAATATTAAAACCAGGAAAAATGATCAGCTCGTCTTGGTGCCTCCCGTTATGCCATAGAAAATTCTAGAAAAAAGTCGAGAGAGAGAAGCGCCTAGATGATGCTTCGTAACTCCACCCTCTTCCGATATTTCATAACTCTCAGATCAAACGGGAGTAGAGAGGTCTTTGGTTAACAAAAAGAGTGTCTTCGTTATCTGACGTAAGCGAGTTGAAAGTCGAGAAATTGCATGGGAAATAAACAAGATAATTTTTCGATATAACTGCTTCGCTGAATCCCTGAGAATTTCTTCGGTTTAAAAATTACGATAGAAGAACATTTTCTCTCCTTCCATTCCCATAAAAAAAGAAATCGTTTAAAAAACTAGAAAAAATCAAACACCACTGAAATGATATCTGATCAATAGAACACGCAAGGGCCGGAGTGGTTTGTTCAGAATTTAGTGATCGTTAATTGTCTTGAACATTACATGATCTTGATATTGAATTAACGATCGGTAATATCGGGAGAATGTACTTTGCGTTTAATGAGCGATAATGGACGTCGATCGGTATCATTACGATGGACCGTCGACTTGTTACTAAGGGAAAACACAAGAGAGATGACCAACAATGTAGCAATGCAAAGAGGATGGAAGACAGTCAAGCACTTTAGTTTTAAAGGTATTCTTGGCAAGTGAAGCTCGGTCTTTAGACGATGCCGGTGATTATAAATAAAGTACGCGCCTCGTGGTGGCTTCGTCAAAATGTACACTGAATGCGTCTCAAGCGGACAAAAAAGATTACTACAAAAGAATTTATTAGCATTGACTGCGCAATGATATGCGGATCCTAGGGCATTAACTCGTTTGCAATTTCCAGTTGCTTTCGTCTCAAGAATGAACGCAAAGTGTTATGAAGTCGCGATAGGAAATTCTGTAGACGGAGGTCTTACCGATTTGGCTGTTAGTTCAGCTCTTAAATTTTATAAGAATTAATAGTTTGATTTTCAACATTGATTCCAAATTTAATGCAATCCTCACACAGCTCACTCACAGCTCACGGAAAATGGCTGACAATTAGCTGAAGTTGGCTCATTTCCCTTCTAACCTTTCACGTGATCCGTTATAACAGGATATTAGAGTTTTCGTCGGTGATTTCAATTTAAGCACGACCAAAACTCTTCCCGTCTATTCTTCGTCGCGTGTAAATATTCAAATATCAACTCCCGGTTTATTCGCATTGATGAGTCAACCGAACATTTACTAACTACAGAAATTCGGGTCAAGCGCGTATACGTGAGAGAAAATAGAAAATTGTGGATGATGAAAAATTGGATTATTTTTACTCAGTAATTAATGAAAGAAGATTACGTTTAACAGTGGGGATCATACGCTTGGTCAACTTCCACACGTTTTCCTCCCTCTTCAGGTGAATGATGCCCTCATAAAGCACAGAGTTGGATCATCCATCGTTACTGCAGTTTTCACGATCAAATTTACTACGTTTACGTTGAGTGGATATTGTGGACAGAGAATAAACTCTCTACTTGAAATGAAAATAAAAAAAATTCATGAAGCAGCTGTGGAGAATCTTTCATAATTCATAAAAAAGAAGTTACTAAAGGAGAAAATTCTAAATGTTAAATGCAAAAGCGTCGCGAGATGCACAGCAATATGACTATAATATTCAGTGCCATTACAGATAAATGAAATAAGTCCATCTGGAATTCAATCAGTCAAGTAGAAGTCGATTGATAAATCAATTTGCGTCTTCAGGAAAGCGTAAAGATAGTGAAAGCTCGCGAAAGAAATTGAATTATCATTTCTCAGGGTTTTTTCTCTCTGCAATTCGTATCGTAAATGGAAGTAACTGGGATAAATCGGTAGAAAATTGGAGAAAACAAAAAGATTCACAAATCACGTGATTCAGACGTACGGAACAATCACAGGTTTGATCCCAGCGGGCGTGAAATTATTGATAAGACGGATAGAACAGCCAATGACTTGAAAAAATGTGGTAAAATTTCTTGTATCGGGTAGAGCAGCGGTTTGTTAGAGAATGAATGAAATTTTGTACACACTGTATCGCAATTTAATACACAGTATGGAACCCTCCGCTGAGAATACTAACAACGTATAGCTCTACCCCAACGTAGAAGCAAGTGCACGTGTACTCAAAATCGGCCATGAAAATGAGATGATCAACTGAGAAACTCTCCCACTATATACCAGCTGTGTTATGCATTTCTATAATTACCGATACAAAAAATTGACTAGTGAAATTATTGTATTTTCTATCCAAAAATATACCAATCTTGTGTTATCAACGATTAATTGCTTCTTCATTGCATATTGGATACTTTTATTCCTCCCATCGTTACATTAAAGCTGATTAGAGCCTTGAAAAATCAAGTCATTGAAGTTTACGTCTTCATTAAGGGTAAAAAGACTTCATCTTCATTAAACCAGTAAATTAGA